AATAAATTCTATACATGGATCTAAAGCTGGATAGGTGTTAGTATCAAATATGTTTTACCATTAGTGGAACATTGAATGGTACATCGAAACCATTTTATTCGTTACCTATTTGATTAACCCTTTCACCAGCACCCAGATATTCAAATATCATGCTCTATACTGGCAGGCAATCTTAAGCACAAATTTTCCAAAATGCATCTTGCAAAATTTTATTTTACTGTAAAAATCCGCCATTTCTCTCTAAATTATTTACGCTAAGCGTCAAAAGGCGCCCACGCCAACAATACGGTTAAATTATGAATTGGAAACAGGCAGTAGTAGAGACTGCACAAAAAAACGCATGTAAAAGGCTCAGTCTACGATGAAAAGGATAAAGAATGCTTTGTTTGGATATCAATAGTGTGTCTACACGTTAAAAGAAATACACAGAAACACATGTTCTTTGTTTCTTTGTCTTGTTACAAAAATGAGAGAATGGATTGATTAGAAAAAAAATGAAATAAATGGAAATGAAGAAATTCTATGCGCTTTCTTTCGAGAATTAATTTACCGACGACTCAGGCCATGACTTTCAAAGACTCTCACCTTTTGATCACGAAATTATCCCTCGCGAAATGTCAGATCCTTTGAAAGTATTCGTAAATCACTCAGTCATGCTGTGAAACTAGTATACAGAGAATTTGGCGAAAATAAACACAGACAGACAGCAACCATTCATCACCTGAGTTTTGCACAGGAAATGATTGTTATGATCTAAGTACTCTTTATATATGACAAATGCCTGAGGCGTGACACGAATCTTGTTTAAGGGTCATCCCGCGAGCGTAAGAGCAAAGTGCAACCTCATCATGGGCTTTTTTGCCGAAAGATGTCGGATTATCAGCCGTAGTAGCAAGACATTACGTGAGTTTCATGACTCGCGCACAACTGCTGTTAGACAAAATGTTGTCTTCGGATTTTGAGGTTATTTTTGAGATATCTTTTCTGCAGGAAGAACAGACATTTTTCTTCTTTGCGCCATGATGTAGTTAGGTAGTTACTGTATAGGAGTATGAAAGAGCAATTTGGGATTTTTAAATTCAGAGAGAAATTCGCTTTTCGCCAATAAACAAACTTTTTCGTCAAAAACTAATGTCATATTCATGTGGTTAGACGATCATGCAGAACCTTACTTTCACGGATAGGAATATATCGAGACCAAGACTTTACAATGATCATATCGCGAGTTTACGAATTTATGTAGATCATGCTCGATAAGCGCGATCGTGGCATGACTGAGGTGGCAGTGTTGACATGGGAAGGTATTATGATTTAACCTCTGCCGGTGTAGCATGCTACTTTTGTTAGTTTCTTGTACTTCACTATCTCTGTTGTTAACCACTGCTCCCCTTCTGAGGTTGAATGAACGAGGCCCATGCCCCTAATCGATCGGGTGTGATACGAGTACATCCAGTGGACTCCACTGGATATACCCGTATTAGACATCGTATTTGCGGCGGCGTTGGCCGTACTGACCGGCTGTATAAAGAGAACAAAAAAATGAGAATCTACATGCACAGCTTCAAACAGGTAGCCAGCATGCATGCCAGTCACTTCTTCCATGGTCCTATCACGCCTACAAATATTTATATTGGAAAGAGTTTATGTTTCGATAAAGAATACATTTGTCTAGTTACAAAACGATGAGATTAAAGTGCTTCCATGAACTCATAACCAAAAACGTAATATTTGTTCAACCAAAAAACGCCGTTTCTCCCACAAACGATTGTGTTTTTCGGAAAATACAGACGACAGCTAGAACCTTCAAATACATTTTCGGCGTGACGCATCATCAATGAATAAGAGGCGAATAGAAAACGTAAAGATATAAGTAAAATTCTGGGTATGCAGTGGTAATCAGTGTAGTCGATTATATATTCTGTATAACTTATGAACAATCAATAATTGACCGATGCATCGGATAAATTGCGACCCTATAGTACTGAAAGTATTGTTCGACGGTGTTAGGGCAGAAGAACATTGAACATCGTAAAATCGCATCATTCTGGTGCATTAGGTGCTTAAATAAGTCTGTTTACAACTGTTAGTCGTAAAAGAAAGACATCTTAGACTTACCAGATGAAAGTTCTTACATGAGGCCATGGGAAGCGACAAATAACTCTTTCCATTACTGGCCTAAGGCAAGTGAGTTTATACAAAGAACAAAGCATGTAGAGTTACTTAACAGATTCGAAACTGTTGACAACATGTTTAATAATTTTGGGCGCAGTCCTTACACACTCATCAGCAGTTCGGTAATTAAATATCTTTTTATAATGAACTTTTTTGCATTCAGTGCTCTCGAATCAACTATGAATAACTGAATAATCAGGAATTCATTTGGAATTTCTGCTTTTGCAGTAATTCTTTTCGAATTTTGACAGTTATTCCGCCAAAATATAATAGTATTAGAGGAATTTCCGAAAAAATGTTGGTTAGGCCGTTAATGACATCTGGTGTTTGTCGTATATACTGTTGTCGAAGGACGTAGTTTCGACAAAATTCTCTACTTGATGGAAAAAAGACTATTTATCGGCGTTAAAAGAAAAATATAGAATAAATAACAAAAGAATGATGTTGAGAAGAAAATAGTAATAGAACTAAAATAAAAAGATGATATAATTGATGCAGTGGAGTGCTTTACCGAAAATGAATGATAAAGGAAAAAATAGAAGTTAAATACATGAACCGTCAGATTTCGAATTTATCATATTTAGTTGGACATGATTCTGTTGCGAAAAATAAAAAATTGAAAAAACAAGATGGTGATAGTGCTGATTAGGTGTGGGTGCAATATTAGCTACTGCAACTGTATTTATATACTTGTTGCGAAACAAGAGAAATTGTTTCTATCTTTATGTGTATTCTTTTCTATGTTTATGTGAAAATTCGAAATGACTTTTCTGTTATTGTATGACGGCAGTGCTATAATAGTAGTTTTGTTGAATAAATATTGCTAAATTTACTCCCTATTAAACTAATTTCCAATTACGATATTGCTTTGATTACATTAATTAAGTGATGATATTAGTTTTGACGGTATTGAAATTTCGACGATGTTGTCAGAGCTCCAATAATTTTCAAAATTTCGACAACGCTGTCAAAATTCCAAAATAATTTCTAAAATTTTAGAAACTCCATTGGAATTTCGGCATTTGCCGAAATTCCGATAGAATTTCTAAATTGGCAGAAATTCCGCTGCAATTTCCACGGGGTCAAAATTCCAAAGCAGAAATTCCAAAAGCAGACCGGCGAGTTTACCGAATTTAAGAGGGCCTCCATGGATATATCAAAGATACCTCCTACCTCCTCAACTTCAAAATTCGTTTTTAATCGCAGATTCTGAAAGAGCGTATACGATTTCGTCAGAAAACTATAAAAAATTCTTTTTGTAAGCCCTTCGGTACAGAGTACCGGACGTCTGACCTTCGGGAACCATTAAAAGTGATTTTCGTACTTTTCAGTATTATGGCTGTAATTTTGTCATAAAAAGGGCTACAGAGGCGGCCAAAATTTTGTCTGGTAGAGGATCAAATAGAGATTTAGTGCTGAAAGGCGAGGATCATTCCGATTTAATCTCGCTGTTCTAGGGTCAAAACTTTGAAAAAGTGCATACACCGAAAAACTAGTATTTCCGGTTAAGTAATACTTACCGTAGTTTTTAGTCTGCGTCGAAATTTTTCACCAAAAGTTCTTTGACTGACGCCGCGTTGAATGAGATATCATTCGACCAAAACAACGTTTAGGAAAAAAGTCTAGTGAATCAACAACGTATGCCATTCCTACGACAAAACATTACTTTTGTTCGAAATAATGCATTTTTCTCTCTCTGTATATTTTATTTCGTGAGAAAAATAATATATTCGTGTTCAGCGAATGAAACCGAGTAACTTTACAAGTTTACTGAGCTTTTCCATCCTCATTCTAGGACCCACATACCATCATCATTCTTCAGAACCGTGTGAAAACGGTTTTGACCTTAGACATGAATTAAAAAATGTGTAAACCACTCGACTTTATATACCATTCGATAGAGAATTTCACGAGCTACAAAATGGTATATAAGACAGACATAAGGAAGAAGAAGAATATCCCACCTTGCGGTATAGGATGGTGCCGAAACAGTTTCGATAAGCCCGATATCTTCCCTACAGCTGATGATTTTCAGAGACGGGCACCCGTTCTTCTACTAGTCATCCAGCAAGCTGCAGCTCTGGACAGAAGGCCAATCTGACACAGAGTTCTTTTCGCCTGATTGCTAGCACAGAAGTGCCGGTGTATGTCACAACATAGTGAGCATGCTATCGGACGGGTGATCCGAGACAATAGCCGTTAGTAACTTATCCAAGGTTATTGTGTGACTGGGTGACGCCGAGGCTCGAACACGGTACCTTTGGAGTACGTGCCGACCAACATAACCACTCAGCCCCAGCGGCTCAGACATAAGAAAATGTAAGTGAATTGTCTAAGATCCGAAATATTCGGCAGCATCTCAGCAAACCGGTGGGTCACGTCTTTCATGTTTATAATAGTGATTAATTTTCTTAGTAATTTCTTAGTAATAGTGATTAATTTAAGTACGAAAATGATCACTTCTAATGGGCCCCAAAGTTCAAACGTTCGATACTCTGTACCGAAGGGATTTCAAAAAGAATTTTTAGTAGTTTTCTAACGAAATCGTATACGCTCTTTCAGAATCTGCGCTTAAAAACGAATTCTGAAATTGAGGAGGTAGAAAGTATGTCACGATATTCATAATATTTGCATGTATCGAGAAAACTGTAAACTGATACCATCCAAATCTGGAACTGACTGAGACTAATTTGACACTTTTTATGTTCCTTTTAACATTTATTTCATTCAGTAAAGAGACGGTGAATAATTGAAGCAAACATAGAGCGAAGAAATAAAGTGTTTTTATTCATCTGTCATTATTTCAAGACGTTTTGCTTGCAATCTACTTAGTTACGTGGCATCAACATTTTCTGTATTTTACCTTCAATATATTCACCAGCTAACACCGACTCATACTTTGCTGGTCGCTCTGAATTACAACATGATGGTAAACACTCAACTTTTGCAAAGTAATCGGAGCCAAAAAAGAATGCTAGTGAATAACGATCTTTATCACTGCGATTAATCACGCGATGTACAGTTGAAACAAATGTATCATTTGTCCAACGTTGCATCGTATCAGCAATATTAACAACAATTGTATTTTCAATTGGTTTGGCATCAATCCATTCTCCCTTCGTATTTTTTACTTGTAAAGCATTTACACTTGTTTGTGATAGAAGTGAAAAGCAACCATAATCAGTGTGTTCACCGCACCCTATAGAATCGAAAACAAATGACAGAAGTTGAAATAAATCAGAACCGTCTTTGTAAGAAAACCAGCTTTTTCCATCCTACCCTTTAACAATATTGAAATGAGAGTCCTACGATTTGGCATGAACATACCTATTTGATTGGAATCGTCAACTTTTGGTTGTGGTGGATAGTAATAAACACTGAACTCAACCATTGGTTTCTCTATCAAAAATGGGGCAAAATAATCTTCTGGTAAATGTAATGCCAACGCGAATGCTTGAAGAACACGATGCGCTAATTGTAGAACTGATAAGAAATATCCATCATAAAGACATTCGCGAAATCCTGAAAGACAAGTGATGTTAAAGAACTGCATTAGCTTCACCCATCCATTTCATCTCAGTTTTTCGAATCTTCCTGAGTGATATGATTCCCACCTGGTAAATTCTTTGGCCATATATTCGGTCCATAGCATAATAGTCCATGTTTGACTCTGTATTCGTCGTTAGCGGACAGCTCGAAACCTATATGAAACGACTCTTTTCTATCCGCTGTTTTTTCATCCAATTTTTGTTCAAACATCGAACTGTAGCCTCGAGTCTCCGTTCCTACCTCACCAACAACCGATGCCATTTTTTCTTCTAAGGGTAATGAAAAATATCGTCGTACTTGATCGAAAGCATTTTCTGTCACTTCTGGTGGAATGCCATAATTTTTCAAATAAAAAAATCCCACTTGACGACAAGCACTGCCAATTTCTTCTGCAACTTGAGTTTTCTCTTCCAAAGTGCCATTTATAAACGGGCCAAAATCAATAACTGGAATTTCAGTAAAGGCTGACGTCATTGTTTCTTCCGTGTTTTTATATGATAAATCTGATACGTTACTATCACTTGTCTCTTCCAGTATCTTTATGCAAATAAATAATTTGTAGATTCACCAAATAGAAAGAATACAAGTTTAATCACGAGTAAATATGTTTTTATGCTTTTCTACTTAGGTTATGGTGAAATTGTTTGTCTAAATAGAGATAATTTAAAACGTGGAAATATCTGTTCGAAACAAGTTGAGGCCCGCATTAGGCAGGATGATTACTAAAAAGTAGTGCGCTAAAAATAAAGTTACGGAAAGAAAAGAGAAAGAAAGTTATACATATCAGCCATACACGTTGTTGTTGTTGTTAATTATACCCTTACCTCACTGGTATCGGGTGAGGATCAAAAAAGACAAATACACAGAAAACACACAGAAAGAAATAAGGGAGTTAGTGTTCACGTAGAAGTGAAAGTGTTCGTTCGATTTGTTTGATCATCGTAGAAACCCAGGACCGAGTACTGTTTTCCGAATATAACCTTCAGACTTTGCGAGTCTGCTTTGAGTGATATTCATCATGAAGTACAGGGTAGAGAGATTCAGCTTCTTCGTCTTGCATGTAGCCATACACGTAAGTACGACCTGCGTTGTTCAGACTTGAAAGAAAAATTTCGACTTTCGATCTCATATGAAACAACAAACATTTTTGAGTAACATGACGTTTGGCGATTGAAAAGATAATGTTTGCTTACTGAACTATGAAGTTATCACAACTAGTCCCCAGACAAAAGTAACGATTTGAGCATAAGACACGGTATCTGTCAAATTATAATATCTCAGCTTTGTAAAGTGCAAGAGAGGTCGGGTTTCCGTCATTGTTTAGGTTGATGCCCAGCATACCGATGTTCCTAGTCACACGGGCCATCACATGTGTCATATGGTCGATGATGAGTCATCATGTTTGGATTTTAGGGCTATTTTTGAGATATCTTTTCTCCAGGGAGAACAAACATTTTTCTCTTTGCGCCATCATGTAGTCAAGCAATTACTGTATAGGAGTATGAAAGAGAAATTTGGGATTTTTAAATTCAGAGGGAAACTCGGTTTTCGCCAATAAATAAACTTTTTCATCAAAAACTAACTAATATTTATGCTCAGTGTCAGAAACTGCGTTTTACTACCTATTCAGAAGTCAATGAAGTTGATTCTAGCTCGAATAACTCCTCAGGAAAAACACCTAGAAAGGTGTTTGCGGTTTCCAATGTTGGAATGAGAAAAGGAAACTTTTCTAAATCTCTGTCATCTGACATATTCTCCAACACTTTCTAATTTCAAAAGCATCGTTAAAGCAGGACATCTCTAAAATAAGGTATCGCACAACCGTATGCAACGGGAAAAACTTAATGATCAGTGTTTGAAGAATGTAAGGGCAATGTTAACAATAAAAATTTAAGAATATGTGCGGCTAACATATTCAATGTAATATATAATTTTAAAGGTAAATAACAACTAAAATTAACATCAACTTTAAAATACGATATTTCGACCGATGTATTCGGTCATTGCCGAGTTGAAATTTCCGATGTACATGTTGACGCTTTATGCGAAAATATAAACTGTTTGTACTAATATCAGGTATATTTCAGCCTTTTATCTTTCCTTGCTTCTATTCTACACTCATCTAACGAAGAAAGGCAAAAATAACTTAAAATATTCTATTGTTCTGTTTTGTCAAGTCATACAGGCAGGATAAGAGAAGAGAAAGGAACATGGTCAGTGTCACTATATTCGTCTCTTACCAACTACATTATACCATTGGATAAAGAGGATGACAATTGTTAAAAATAGTTACTAACTGGTGCTTCACAAGAAATTGCGCTCTGACAATAAAACAATATATATAAAATAGTATGAATCTACAATCTTCATCATTTTCCAAGTCAGAAACACCGTTTTATCGCTATTAGTCCTTGATATTTTGCACCTTCACGGTTTTCCTGTTTTTTCTTTGATTAATCAAGATTAACTAGGATAGTTTCAAACTTAGAAAGCTATCACACCTTGTAGAACGAACAATTTTCTACAAAGCGGTATACTTGTTCAATTTTCGCTTGCTTCAATTTTTTACTTGTTCAATCTTCACTCTTTTAGACACGTTTTTCGGCTGTATTTTCATAATGAATCAACGTTCCGAGCCGAGATATGTTTCATTTTGTAGAGAAATGTTTAATCTACTCACTTATCTAGTTGCAGTCCTAGATTAGTTTGTAGCTTTATTGCAATAATTTTCTGAAAATGAGAGAAAAAGGGGACCGTTAGCTGGACAAGCCGTGTAGTTCTGGGGCATTTGGAAAAGCTCCCCCGGGTCAGAAACCTATTTCAGCCCAGGTAGATCTGATCTGAATCAAACTTTCAGCGTATGTTGACCATGTCAGGGAGTGGTAACAAAATTTATTTTTGGCGCCACTTGCGACTGTTCGGAGAAGGGCACCACAACAAGGGTCACAAATAGGCGTCTACCACGAGCAACAATTCTAATTTCAAGTAAATGACAGAGAGCTTGAGCTGTTGTTGTTTTGCAGTAATCAGCTATGGTTACGAGTGGACAGAGCCCGATTTTTGAATTCCGCATTTACTGATTTCTGGTGCTTAATAGAACTTTAAAGTCTGAAAATCCGTGGAAGGCTTTTCAGAAATCATCATTTCTGTAAAAACTAGAAGCATCATTTAAAAATTAATAAATAATAAATTTAATAATAAATTTTCGGACTCTGTCAGGTCCTGGCTATCGGTGTTATCTACAAACGAAAAAAAGAAAAAACATTCCACATATCGTTACCGAGAATTCCTGTGCGTGGCGAAAGCCCTGAAGCTAAAAGCCAGTCGACAAAGTGAAAGTTTCAACTTTAAGCTGTTTGTGGAGAAAACGCAAAATAAGTGCTGTATCCGTTAAATGCCTTTTACTTAAAAACTACTTGAGTGTTGAATAATTTGTTAATACTCTGCTATAGCTTATCGGTCATGGCGGATCTAATAAACATGTGCGGCACATGCTTCTGTTAAATCCGAACAAAGTTCAATAGTTCCATTTTTTTTCCACTAACAAGGCGACAAAGTGAAAGTTTTTCTTTTATCGGTACTTTTTAACAAAATTGTCTAGATCTTGGCACAATTGCTAGAGAAACACCTTTAAAGCTGGTTTGTGATGTACGAAAAGAAAGTCACCATTTCGGAGCGCATCAGCTTTTTATTTTAAAAACCTCCTCACGCAGAAAGTCGAAATTGGAAGTGCTTGGCAGAAATTTAGAACGTGAGATCGGATATGAACCTGTGGTAAAATCTTCAGCTCGATTGGGCCATTTTTTCGAGGGATTGTAATGTGACTGGATTACAAGAACTCTTGAAAAAACGCATGGTGAGAAAAACACATTTTGTGCAAAGGGGAGTTTTTTCGGAGCATTAGTTAAGCGAATCTACGGTACGCAGCAGGTACTGTTTACTCACTAGCAGGATCTTTCCGAGTTATTTCTATTGTTTGACCTTATGAATTTGATTTCATTCCACTGGAGTACACGCAGAGTGATACAGAATGATTAGTACGGTTAAGTACTGGAGAATATGCTCTAATCCTTATTGACGCTTCCACTAACAGTTTGTACCCATAGTTTAATCCCAAATGCACCTGTACACTATGACTTTCCAGTGGCCGATTTTGTAGCAGAATCCAATGTAGATTTAGTTTTAGTTCTGAAAAACGAATGGTTCTCAAAAATCTCCCAATAGAAATTGTATTCACTTTTTTCATGGGCTGATAGCCCAGAATGTCATGAAATGGTAACCTGCGACGCTATAATTGTATGCGGTTCGGGCGTTGTATCGGATTTCCTACGAGTCTCTGGATTAGCCCCCCGTGCCTATCGATAGGACCATGGTTAATTGCCCATACTGAGTCTCGTGGCAGTATGCTTTTTAGAAAGAATTTTAAAAATCTACTGAAAAGCGAGTTTTACAAAAATTAGGTTTTCAGACTGTTTTCACCTAATATTAAAATATTCACTGTTCACTCAGAAAACATCAGAACGTGTTCAAAACTTCAGAATGTGGTCAACGTTGTCCGCTCAATGTGATCATAAGATCGACAAAATCGCCGAAGCATATTTTTGTTAAAAGATTCTTTAGAAGCCCTTTTGGCAAAACCTTAGGACCTAGGGTTTTGTTGAATTTCTTTCACCTTTTTTTAAAAATTACATAAATTTTGCATAAATTCAAAGCCTCGCTTGGCTGCTGTTCGGAAGAAAACACCTCAGGCGACCAATTCGTTTTGGCTTTTCTGTAATTTTCTCAAACTCTTCGTGTAGTAGTTCGTACGAGGAACATATACGGATTATCTTGTAGGCCACCGTACCTGTTGCATTAAGTTTGTATGAAATAGGTACATATGGTTATATGTACCTATTTCATACAAACTTAATGCCAATACAAAAGAGTTGCCTGTTTCACCGGATGTTTGGGAATAGTGCGGAGTTTATTGTTACTTAAAGTCACTGTACATATTTCATGTTGAGGAGGAGGAATAAACACTGTTTTCATGTGTTCGTAAATAGCCAGATTTTTTCGTGTTAAGTTACCTTATTTTACACCTCTATTCACATTACTTATCAATAAATTCAAACGAATCTTTCAGATATAACTCGGCCTCTGATATTGCTGGTCATTATACGTTAGCCAAAGATTTAGCGTGTTGTGATTATAAGCAC